CCCTTTCTCCTTTATAAACCAGCTTTTTATGTGCAGGCATATTGCTAGAAGTCCAGTAATATGCCTGCACAGTCTCAGTTCACAAAAACCTCTTGCAGCCTACAATTCTCAGAAGCAGGAAACGACACACTTGGGTAATAGTATAAATTAATGCCTGCAAATGATTCAAAATAACAGGCAATTTCTGTCAGTCTACAGCATCATGATATTACACTCATTATAATACCTTTCACATGCTAGAGGGCAACTAAACCTTTTCTAATATTTAGCTGTCCAGCTGCACCATATAAATTGTTTTCTTAAAAAAACAAAAAAACAAACAAACAAACCCAAACAAACAAACAAACACACACACAAAAAAAAAGACAGCATATCTATTAGGACAACAATATGATTATTTTTGTCAGGGTAAGTTTAATAATTTTTTTCCTAAGTACGAGGCCACAGAGTTAAGGCATTGTATGAAAAGCAATACAAACCTCTTAACTGTTTCCGGACCCTCCTCATCTCCAGAATGTCAGCAAAGAGCACAATGCTTTGGGGAGACTGCAGTTTGAGTGGCTGTATGCCCTGGGGCCCCTAAAGCTTACCATGACCCCTAAACTATCAGTCACCTTCATGATACCTGTCTGTCAGGCCACATAACTGCAGAAGGCAAACCAAGTCAGAGTCTAGAAGCATTTCTTCCCTTCAGATTAAATCCAAATCATGTGAGAATTTTTTTCAGTCCTTCACCTACATATTTATTAAAATATTTATAAAAATGATATACAGTTATATGGATTGGTACTTTACTTACTTAACTGAAGAATGATTTCAGGATAAAGGCTTTGCATGTGTTGGGGCAAAAGGACCTAGAGAAAGCAGGTGCTGGGCTACTGGCAGAGCCAAGACCAGCCCTACAACCCCTCTGCACAGGCTACAGTCCCTCTGACCAGTGATGAGACGGGCCTAGGTCTCAGATGCGGTTTGGTTTGAGCCCTGGTAAGCAGGGCTTAGAGGATAGTATGGCTACTGATAGTTGGCAATAACCATCACTTCCCCAGTGTACAAAGCAGTGGGGAGTGAGCCTGAACGCATGCAAAGCCCTCTAGAGTTTGTAGGACACGTTTACAAAACTACTCAGGCAAATCTGGTACCCGTTTCTCTCCCTCAAGCCAGGAAGGTTTAAGTCTTATTGTAGCCCCTGTTGCTCCTTTGAAAAACTTGACCAGAAAAGATGCCTCAGGCATTCTTCAAAACTTTCAACTTTAAAACCATAAAGAAGATGAAGGTGTACTGGAGGCCATGTCCAGTACCCCCCAAAAAAATCTGCCTGAAAGGAGGTTGTACCAAGGTGGAGGCCTGTCTCTCTTCCCGAGTTAACAGGACAAGAGGAAATGACCTAAAGTTGCATCAGGGGAGCTTTAGTCTGAATATCATGAAAAATTTCTTCATGAAAAGGGTTGTCAAACATTGGAACAGGCTGCCAGGAAAGTGGTAGAGTCACCACCCCTGGAAGGCTTTAAGATGTGTAGATGTGGCGCTTCGGGACCTGGTTTAGTGGTGGTCTTGGCAGTGCTGGGTGAATGGTTGGACTCGATGACCTGTTTCAACCTAAACAGTTAATGATTCTATCAAAAAGCCACTTCAACTGTCTCTAGGAAACATGTACCACGAATTCAAGCACAACAGCAGCTCAGGTTCAGAGCATATCTCCAAGGAACACTACATGTGTTTGGCTGTTGGAAGGTGACCAGTGCCCACCCACAGCTCATTCACCCTCCTGCTTGCTTCCAGGTTCCTCTCCATGCCAGTACCGGGACAGGAATATTCTTTGGCATCTGCCTAGTTACTGGAATTGTGGCTCTTATTGGATATTCTTACCTCAGGTTCAGGAAGAGAAACACAAGCTTCCAGCACTTCAAGGTAGGTGGCAGACAGGAACACAAAGCAGGGGGGGCTTCTCCAGACCCACTGCACCTCCCAAATTCACAACCTCCAGTTTCTCTGTGTATTTTGTTAAGACAGAAATACTCCCCATCACTTCCCACTTGAACTGTTCAGATTGAGACAGAGAAAGTGGGGAAGGCTCCCACACTGGTCTTGGGCACAAGCTTACATTTGCCCTCAGACATCTCCACCCAGGGTGCCCAATGGGCTCCTGCATGCATGGAAACTTCCTGCAGGTAATTGCAACCACTGAAAGTTCACCTCCCCCTCCTCTGTGGCATAGCTAATCATTCTGTTGCTCTGGAGGTTGAAATGTTTGATAGGAAAAAGGCCAGATTCAAAAGACAAGCAAATTTAAATGACTGCAGGATTGAAGAGTGCAGGTTTTTATATTGATGTGCTCTCATGTTTGATTTCTCTTAACTAACTTTACTATCTCACGTCACATGATGATGTGAAACCAGCCAGCAACAGCCAAGCTACTCAGAGATGAGGGATGACAAAAAAAGTTATAGAATACACAAGAATTCAAAAGAAAGTCCACCTTTAATAAACAGAAATTCCTTCCTGTTCTAGGCCCTGCATATAATAGGAATCATCTTCTAAAAACAAAGCACAGGACCTGAGAGCCAGGGGAAATGCCTGGTTTTTTATATAGTTGCAATGAGAGCACTCGGGACCAATCAGGTACTTTTTACCCCAGGCACAAGGTCAGGGCCACGCTTCCTCTCCTATTCTTTGCTGAGGCTTAAAAATAAGAAGGGAGAGGAAAATCAGTGTTAGGTGTCCTGAGTAATACAATAACAATACAAAACATAGTTTATGCTCAGAGATAGTGAGTTAGATGATACAGCCAGTTCAGTCACAACACTGCATCAGCTGGTAGTGAAGCTTAAGTGCCCCACTTAATGCACTGGAAGGAGGATGAATTTTAAGCAGGCTTATGTGCTTTTGTGTAGTCAAAAGATGAGACTGACACATCATCACTGGACAAGTCACAGCCTTCAAATATCACCAACCCCTCATATGAAAGTTCTTCTGCACTGACTCCACCAGAACCTACTTATGATCTTTTCTCAGTAAGTGTTCATTTTGTTTTGAGAAACTATGAATATAAGGTTAAGAGGGAATGACTTCATGAAAGGAAAATGTCTAGTTGGAAAAAAAGAGAAATTAATTCAAGAAAACAACATATAAGTTCCTGGCTCTCCTGTCTCACCAGTGTGTGGAATTGGGTTGTCTCTTGTAGCAAAACTGAGGCTGTGGTCTACAGCAGTATCTCAAGTCCACCTTCAAAGAGAGCTGAATTAAACTGGACTTCAGATGCCTCTGGATGACAGTGATATGTCTATACAAACTGCAAAAGCCTTCTAATTTTGTCTTCATGCCTCCTTGCTGCAAACATAGCCGAGTGCCATGCTAGTACTCCAAAGAATCTGAAACACAAAGGGGGAGGGGGCTGGGGATCAAGAAAGGATTGAATAAAGCCAGAGTATCTGAATAGCTTCAGTGGTCTAAGTCAGCAATACCCTCATGTACATGCAGAGTCTAAAATCAAAATACACCTTTCTGCATCCAGTAAAAAGTCATTTGATGCAAAAATGTTGGGTGCCAACTCTGCCACCTGTATGGACAAATGCACCAAAAAGTTACTTTCGTTTCTTAATGTAATGTGCAAGTGATTTTCTTTTTGTTCTATTTTATAGGATTCGGATGACCAACAGCTTGTGATGAGTGGTCCTCATGATCAGAACTAAAAACTGAATTTGGCATTAGTCAGTTATTAAACACATTTCTATTTACAATTACTGTGAAGAAAACCAGCAGCTACACATTACAGGGAATAAAATCTTGTTACAAATTAAAAACCAAAAAAGCTCGGCTTTAAGATGCAGCCTATATAACTCACAGTTACCAACCTCAGATGTGTTGGCTGTATCTGAGCAGTACCAACTATAAGTGCTAAATGCAAGACTGAGTCTCAACAAACCTAACCAGAAGCAAACAGACTCCTCTCTGGGAAAAGTAGATAACTTTCACTAGCCTGCTTTTTAACTGCTTTTATTCTTCTTCACAGACTTTAAAACAGCCACAAACACACAGGGCTGCTAACTTGGCAAATATCCTACATTTCTTAGTTCTCTAGGTCTGTGCTTTCATTTGGCTCAGTTACAAGCACGAAAGGCAATATGTGTTAAACGTCTATTTTTAAACTGAGGGGATTTTTTTTGCTACTGTACTTTCTGGTAAGATATTCAGCAGCAGGAAACACAACCACCCCGTCTGCCCCACTTGCCTCTGTCTTTCCTTGAACTTGAGATGAGATGTAAACAAAACAGCCATTGTACAAAGGGAGGTAGTCATTGAGGCATCTTTAGCAAGACATGCAGGCGATGTGAGAGCATTTAAATGCCAATCAATCTTTACCTGACCCATTTTTGTGACAGACAACGAATATGAATATCCCCTTACCATGCAACGCCCACATTCAGTTTTTCGGGTCTGGGAGGAGCAGAAGCTGCTTCTTCAAAAACTGTATTTTTATAAAGCACAGCAGTAACAGCTGTGAGTGGCACCACACTATTAGAAGTGAATCAAATAAGTTTCCTTCAACCAAAATATTCATATCATAGTGATACAGCAAGAACACAAAAGAAACCACAAAATAGCAAGCAAAGGAAGATCTTTTTGCTGGCAGCAGTAACACCCCCCAATGCCTGGGGGGCATTAGGTGCTGTCACCCCAGGATGCCTGCTGTCAAGATAAGATAAGCAGGCAAACCCAGGGTTGTTGATGCAGCTTTTGAGTACAACAAAGGGAATCTAACGCGTAAAGACACCTGGATGAAACAGACAGACCAAAGTAATTCCCCAAACTTCTTCCCCTGCACCCCTACATATGCCTGCTTTTTTTTTTACCTATATTAGAAAGTTTAGAACACAAACACAGTTAAGACACACGCTTATGTATCTAGGAGTTTTCCCCAGAGAATTCTGCAGTTAATACAGATCATGTTCTTTCCTTCTCCCCAGTCACCCAAAATATTAACGCTCAGAGAGACCAGAAGATAAAGTCCAAACATTTATTTTTGTAATAATCATTAAATATTTTTATCACAAAAAAAAGCCCCACAGTTCATAAAACTCTTTCTTTTACTGACAGACTATTCACTTCTGTGTTTTTGATAGAACAGAACAAAAATTTCTTCTTGCTTTGGTGTTCAAATGAACTATACTCTCAAAATTAATATAAAGAAACACTGCCTTTTAAACATGCTCAAAAATCTCTTTGAAGTCAGTAGCATAACAAGGTTAAATTAAGTAACACAGAGAGTGCCAAGGTGAAATCATTAAAAAAATGCAAGATATTTTTTAAAAGTTAAAGAGCCGCATTCTAGCACTGAAAAATAAATAATACACTTCAATATTCTCACTTAAATTCATATTACATATAGTTGGATTGTTTTAAGGAAACACAACCCTCCCATATTTAATTCTTTTCATGCAACGTTGTTTATTTCAAGAACTCATGCAATATAAACAATATTTTACTTGAGCTCGCTGTTGAAACATAGCTTGGTACAGAAGTTTGATTTTTAAGTTAAGAGAACAGAAGGGTAAAAGAAGAAAATCTTCAAACAAAATGCGTATTATGTGGATAACACCATCCAAGCCAATTAAACTGTTCCTGCTTAACACAGGAAAATTAAGCAAACAAACTGGCTCCTAGCCAGCTTTGAAAGAACAAACATCACAGAGCTATAATCAACGAAACATGATCAAGTTCAATAATGCAGAACTGAATAATACAATCTTCTTATTTGCTGGTAGTAAGATGGAGAATGTAGAGTAGTTTTGGTGGGTTTTTTTCTTTTCTTAAAGAGCGAACTGAAATCTCTGGAGCATGAGTGGTGCTACACACCTGTAACACCAAGTTCGGTTGTAGCTGAGCATTAGAATGAAGAACTGAAGGCAAATGGGGATATTTCCATCCCCACATTTCATTAACAAGTTATGCTAAATATTTCTTGCACAGCCTCACCAACAAGTCTCCAGATAAAGTCAAACTAACTTCCTGCAAAACTTTATCTTTCCATCCAGCAAAACAGCAGGACGGTCAGATGAACTTCCTCATTTCAAGTGTATTCATCTGTTTAAATACACACACACACTTCAGGTACGTTGCATGTCAAGTCTGAAACAGGAGCACAAGAAAACAAAATCCACAATCACCTCTGAGGACATCATACTGATTTCAAGCATACAGGAAAACTACTTATAAAATTGTGCAGACTAGATTAAAATACATTCTTTACTTTGCAAACATGCTTTTAAAAACATGAAAGATACTGTATATGAAATTCAGTCTAGGTAATTGCACATAATACAGACAGCTTAAAAAAGAAAAAGCCAAAATGAGAAAACTTTTGGTCACCAAAAGTTTGTTTACCTGAAAATCATGAGAAAGCAAGTGAAATTAAGAACACCAGATGCTATATGTTTTGTTAATTGTATGCTTTTAAAAACCAAGCCTTTAATAACTAAAATTTGGAAGTTATTAATCATATTATACCTGCTAAAATGGCTGGGGTGGGAAGCACCGTTAAAAAAAAAAACAAAACACAAGAACAAAAAAACAACCCATTTCCTTTGGATCCAGAGAAAGAAAATAATTCTTACTTAAAAACAATTATATAGCAGTTCTATAAAGTGCCTGTTAGAGGAAACACATCAACAGATGTTTTCCTTGTGCAAAGTAGACATTTTTCAGCTCAAATCTTTGGAACATATGCTACCCAGAGTTTGTGTTTATGCATTACCTCCAATTTCAGTAATTCAATAAAACTTTTAATCTGCACCACCAAAACTATTTTTCTTTATGCAAAATCTGCACCATCCCTAATTCAGCTTTCAGGGCTTGAGCTAAAAACATGTCAACAGAAATACTCTGGGTTTCATTTTCTCATTTCTTAATTTTTCTTTTAACTCCTTTGCCCATTGTGCGTATTTACTTCCGACTGTAAAAGGCTATATGAAATACATTCTCTCCTAGCAAACAGCAAAACCACATTGCATTCCACTGTAATAAGACACTGTTAAAAATTTTAAAAGCAGCATTTAGGATCAAACTAAAGCTTGATGGAAAGATCTGTCTCCACTTCGAAATGCAAAATGCAAGACCTCTTGAAATTACTTTATTACTAGAGAGTGGATATTTGAAGTGTTTTGGAACTTAAAAAGAAAGGTGCCTAAAAGTTAACAAGAGGAAGCCAAAGCAGCCCAAGCTACTGGCAGTTTCAGGTTTAAGCTCAGGTCCACCTGCAGCCAAGCACAAACATTACAAGAACAGAAACTGCACAGACAGTAGAAAGAGCCCATCAGCCTGAGCCTGTCAGTGCAGCACAGCCACACCGGCACTACAGCCATCAGCTCAGTTAGGTCAGGCTCTAGCCACAGCAGCAAGGAAAGGTACAATATGTACACTGTCCCTCTGAGTCTCACCCTGACCTGGTTATTAGCTGTTTATCTCTTTCTGCTGTGCCTTTTGCAACCGGACATGCCTATCTCGTATTGGCCTTTTTAGCCACCAACGTGCTTGTAACAAACACGGGTAGAGCCCTCCCCAAATCTTCGTTGGCGAAGCCCAGCCATGACAATGACAATTGACTAACACTGGATTTAAGCTTTTCAGGGCCAAGATCCATTAGAGGCTCCAGCTGGAGTGCTGAAAAGGGCCAGAAGTGAGAGTACAGGTATTTCTTTGTAAACCGCAAGGCTGCAGATCAAAGTTTCCAATAAACAAAAACAACCACCTCAGAACACCACCAGTCCTTCCCCTCAGATGTGCTGCCCTCCCTCCTGGCCTACTACTGTTTTGGCAGTCCATCATCTCTTCTGTGTGTAAGAGGAGTTTTCACATGTCTGAGCAGAAGAGGAGAAAACAGTTACAATGCTTATGAGATTAAGTATGAGATACATCTAAACCAAGGTAACAGATTTAAGTGACTTAAATAAAATACACATACGTTCAAAAAAACCAAGATATATTTGTCCATTTTAGACAGAAGCCACCAAGTTTTCATTTGATCTGAACTGTTTCTTGTAGGAAAGGTATTCTGAATGTACCAGTGCACAGCTGATCTGACCAGCCTGGAAGTTCATGCTGCAAAGGAGTCCTTCTTGGATAAAACGTGTAATCAGGCTCATAGTTCAAGAGACAACTCAGTGATGCCATGTAGATATCTGCAAATCTAGAGAGACGTCTTAAGAAATAAGTTGGATTCTCATCAGTTCTGAATATGCTTCCGAAATGTGCATTGAAGAAATTCCTGTTCATCTCCCTGTCCCCCGAAGAAAGAAAACAGAGACAATGAAGTGAACACACCTGCACACATCTCTTCGCTAGCCAGCATCCAGAACCTGAAGCAAGCAGTTCCTGTAAGATGGTCTATGCATTGTTCTCTTGCCATTTTACTTCTAAGCACTTAAACGTGCCACATAAGAAATTTTTTCACCCCTTGCACACACGTAGCCCAGATCTAGAAATCACAGTTGTGAACAGAAGAGTTTCACACTTCTGACATTCTGACAAGTTGCTTCTGACATTAGAAACGTGACATCTCAAGCCTTCTTTCTAGTCTTCTGACTTTTACCTTTATCCGTATCCTAATGACATCCACTTGTTCCAAAGATAACAGACTTTTTTTAAAAAGTCAAATATTTGGCCTAATGCACACGAAAAGCTTAAACACTTCTTGGAATTAACTTCTGTCATTAGTTGCTGCCAAGCATCACTCCTACTTCATTTACTTCCGTGTTTCTAGGGAAGGCTGCTGCTGGTACAGCTGCTGGCCTTGCCAATTGTGCCCTTCACACCCCCTGCATTTAGGGATTACTCCTCTCCTTCGCAATAGCAGATTATTAGACTTTTAGTCCCATTTCCTATCTTTGTGATAAATCAACTGCTACATCCAGTCTAGTGCAGAGCCCAGTTTCTACGTATTCTAAAACATATTACATGTCATCTGAAGAAATCATCTAAAAAACCAAAAAAGTAACCTAAGCCTTGACAAAGAAATACATTGTTTAATTGTGCAGAAGCTGTGTAATCAACAATGACAGCTGAACACAGAGGGAGAGGAAAACCAAAATGAGAGAAGTATTTGATTTGATGTTACCCTTTCATGGAGAGAAGTAATATCTGTTCTAAAGAAGGGGAACAGGGAAAAGGGGTTCATATGCACAAAGTGTCAAAGAAGAGAAGAGCTACACAAGAGACAGGTAGAATACTGCTATAGAAAAATATTTTATAAGGTCTGTAACTACCAGAGAAATTCAAAAAAAACCTGTGGAAGACATTACATAGAACCCTTGGCTATCAGCAAGCATATTGCAAATCTTCATCTCCTGTGTCTTACCTCAGTTCCTTCCTTTCCTTCTTCCATTCTTCTAAAATCATCTGAGAATCAGGATCACGGTGAACCTGGAATGTGAAGTATGGATAACCTGTAACTAAGGATACCCTCATAGATAAGCCTTTCCATTAATAAACCCTTATCAGCCAATGGGACATGAGCAATACTTCAGAGATCAGTATACAGAAGTTATCCACATGCATTTTAAACAAACAAAAGCAGGAATTGATCCAGGCTAACCAGTGGAGGAAGGGGATGAGATTTTGAGAAAACTCAACTAGCTACACAAATAACTGCATTTATTTATCTACAGGCAAACACTTCAGTGAGGCTCAAAGCACTTGCAACATCGATGTCCAGCATGTAGAAACTTGGCTGGATCCCTTCTGCTACACAGAGCCGATTACACACACACAGAACAAACCTGCATGTGTTCCAATAATCCTGTCAAGGTTTGCAGCCAGGTCATGGTTTGAATGTACTTCTCTGTGTTCATGATTTTAATCTCTGACCGTAACTCTGGAATAATTGCACCAGTGCGCCAGCCATGCTTCAGGGTCAAGTCCTATTTACCAAGAATTACAAAATACAGGTATTAGTCTTAAGAAGAACTGCTTAAAAAGAACTGAAGAATTTGACTATTGTGTATCCCAAAGGGGCACTAATCGCTTCTTATGTATAAGCAGGAATATGAAACCATGGGACTTAACTGTGCCAATAAGCAATAAAGCTTAATTTCAAATTAAGCTTCAAATCCTGTATTTTTGAAGAGAGATAAAGAACACACTTGCAAATAAACACTAATTCATTAGGTTTAAAACAAACAGCAGGACATTTCTCTTGTAGATGAGACCACTGTTGCTGTCGGAAGTACCTGGAGGAACCATGTGTGGGGTTTGTGATATTTACCCACACATTCAGCTGACAGAAGGCTCCTATCACGAGCCCCAGCTATTCAAACTCCTCCTGACAGGTACAACACAAGGCAGATGCCACCTCTGCTTTCTTATCCATTGTGCCAGATTAGAACACAGCTGCATCCTCCTTTTTTTGATCCTCAGTCTTCTGAAGCACCCAAACTTACTCTTCTTTTCAAAAGCAGACTGGGGAAAAAAATGTTAACATCATCTGCTGCTGAAATATGTTACCACAGCTTGGCAGTGGAAAAGTCTTATCCAGGCATTCGTATGATATCAATTACAAAAGACTTAAGTGGTGTTCACTTACCCTAAATTAACAGCTAAAATACATTTTCTCATAAGGTAGTAAGAAAATGCTCAGAGAGTTGGGATACAAACCAGAGCAAAGTCTTAAGAAGGAAGTTTACCATTAGTGACAGGAAGATTTCCTCTTGCATTCAAACCAGAAATTCATTCAGCTCATATTACAGTTGGCAGTAAATGTCATCCAAATCACGCGTATCCTGTATATTTGGATATCTCTGTTTACTCTGCTACATCTGACACAATCAGTATCTGGATCAGGTATACAAACTCACACATTCCTGACCACAGCTAGTAAACAAGTTAAATGCTACAAGTCAGGTGGAAAACATGGTTGGCCTTTAAAGAAACCAATGTTCTTCACTGCAGAAAAAAGCAATATGGCTTAACCACAAACCAAATTTTGTTGTATTTCAAAATCTCAAATGAAAATGTGTTATACTGAATAACTGGGGAGGGAGAGAGGAAAACTAACAAAAAGCCTCTTCTTTTATCTTTTGTGAAATCAAACTACTTACTGCCAAGTCACTGTATATGTGGTCACCAAAGTAGAGCACCTTAGAGCCCCTCCAGCCAGTAAGCTTCAGAAATTCATACAAGTTACCCTGCAGAAACAATGACATGTACATTGCAGAAGCATAAAAATTGCATGAAAAAGGAACTTAGTATACCCCTAAAAACACTTTCATATCATTAATCTTGTTCTCAGTTTACATATTATGAAGCCCAAATTTTACAAGTGGTTTTCAGGAATACTATCACTTCAAGAGGCAAGGACATACACTACCAACAATGAATTTCTACAATTTCAGACATGAAAATCACTGTCTCAAAGAACATATTACATTTTAGAAGCTTTTATGTCTAAAGAAGGTTGGGATTCTAGGAAATAGGTGTTAAAGTTGAACCAAAGAAGTTTATTGAAAGCATACCTGTTTGTAAATCTGACCTTTCTGCAGCTTGTGAATCTTGTCCCAAAGCAACACCCCCCTTTCATTCACCTTCCGGAATGGTCTAGAATAGATATACAATTGTTACATTGCTGTAGAAATTCTGTCACTTCTTAGGAGATTAAAATCTTAACATTAACAATACTCATCTCTCAAAAGGAAAACATGCTCTCTAGCACCTGAACATTGTGTAACAGAAGAAGCAAGATTCCAAAACTTCCATTTTAACCAGTGAAAAGCAATGTATCTCTCCAGCACACCTATGACATTTCTTAGTTTGAGAACAGCTGTTGAGATGTAAGGCAGGGACCCCAGGCAGAGGGGAAGACACAGTATGAATTGTCTGCCAAGAAGGAGAGAACATTAAAAAAAACCTGAAGATGTGTAAAAATCTTGCCCAATACCTCATTTTCTACACATGGACAACTGAAGAAAAGGGTAAAGGACTGGGGGCAAGATGTACAGCAAAGTTTTTTTTAAAATAAAATGAAGAAAAGAGGAAAAAATCCCACCTCCCTCTATCTCACTTTCAAATCATAATTATACATAAAGGAACAGGTCTTTTTCAAAAGTAAGAATAGTGTATGCACAGTACAAATGTGTTTACTTAATTGAACAACTACTCCAAATATTCCAGTCTGTCAGCCAGAGAGACACCCTTTAAATATAATTTGTGACTAAAAAAAAACCAAAGCAATGGAAGACATTTCCAGATAAGGGGATGATTCTGAAAGGCATCAAAGTTTCTCATGTTTCTTAGGAAAGAAGCACACTTCACCAACTTATAATCAGATGTTAAAAATAGCTTCTGTGACCCTGACTCACTCCAGTAGCTGTGATAGCTCCTGAAACTGTCTTAGGTAAGACATGGTAAATATTTAGACTTCAGAATTGCATGTTGCTGCATTTTGTAGTGACCTCATACAGGATTTCACTTTACACTGCAGCCAAATTAAAATATTTCATAACACCCTCTACAGCCTTATATGGAATAAGCTGCTTGAATCATTCTTTACTGACTAAACACCCACCTTCGCTTATCATTGAAGAAGTTTGGTTTATCAGCCTGGACAATGACCACATCAAAGAGATCCCTCCAGTCCTTGCCAACTATGAACTTCATGCCTTTGTCCCTAGAAAGGACAGAGGGATATTAACAGTGAAGCATAACAGATGTGCAGTTATCAGAGCAATATAATTAATTACACTGGAGAACCTCATTCTCCCCATGCTTTAAAAATGTATAGTTAAACAGAAAACAACTGCTCACTTACACAAAGCTGCTGGGACTGTTTGTGATGAGAAACATCTTCTTCCCATGATCAGCCAGCTTAGCTAACACTGCACGAGTTTGCTCAGCATAGCAGATGTATTTCTCTGTCAAGATTGGGGAAAACACAGTATTAACTGAGAAAGTTTTTCAAAAGAATTTTCTCTGCATTCAACCAAGGGGTTCAGAACACAAGACACTTAAAGGCACCTTTGACAAGCTTTCAAGCTTTAAAAATTTAGAATTTCTAATCTTAAATACAGAAGCCAGAAAGATCAGTACACTATCACTGAAAAAAGCTTTGATAGATTGTATCATTAATACTTACCAATATCTGCTTCAATTGCTCTGTACATTATTCCTTTGATATGGACATCCCTGATTGAGTCCTGTAAGGAAAGCAGCAGAGCACTAGAGAACTTTAACATCTTTTCAAGTATAAAATCCATGCTCACTGCATAGCAGTAGTAATTTGTTTTCAAAACAATTCCTTTCTCAGAATTGCACTTTACAGAAATGCCATGTAATGTTCATCAAACATATATGTCACTACTAAAAGAGTAAGCCTGTCCTCCAAGACACTAACTTGATAATTTTGGGAAATACAAAACTGTATAGCAGAGGGGCTGTTTTACATAACTACTGTGAAAGGTTGCTGAGAAGGGTGAAGTGGGGTGAAAGCCCTCTGCAGCAGCAGAGTCACCACAGATTTCTAGTGACCTTTGGAGCAGAACACATTCCTCTCCTCTTGCAGGAAAAAAAAAAACCCTAACCAAAAGTTTTACATCTGACAGATTTTAGATTACAATCACTTATAAATGCCCTGGTTATTTAAATAAGGAAATTATGAACAGATGAAAGAAGCTAAATGCACGAGCAAAGCACTCATAAGGAGCTCTGGAGGCATTTAGCAGCTCTCATGAGCCAGCTCTGCACCAGATCACTTTGTTTAGATCAGTGGCACTGCCATTTTGCTACTTACATGGGCTACGTCCTCAAAATCCTCAAAAAATACCAGTAAAGGGCTTCCAAAATGCTGGTAATGCTGAACAGTACAGAAATTCCTACACATACTTCAGCAGGAATTACATGAATTAGCCTTCTGACTCTATGCAACCACAGGCAGAAGTGAAAATTACTCTGGAGGTAAAAAATTTCTTAAAATCCATATGATCTACTTGGAAAAGTGAGAAATTCAACATATGAGTGCATCACATGTGTTGAACAACTACACAAGTTGAATACAAGTCAACAAGGGGCCAGGAAAAGGTTTTGGATGGAATGCCTGTGCAGACAAATACTATCACCTTGGGCATTATCTCTTGTGTTCTTACACAACCATGACATAAAATGATCTCCTCTGCAGGATAGATCCTGAGGAATCAAGAGGGTCAAATTACTAGATTAGTACTAGAGTTTTTCTGGAAGAGGAATAAGGATAAACAGGCAAAACAGATAGTCCAGAAGCATAAGATAGCAAGTGATTGTATACTAGCCAAGATGTAGAGGCATTACAACTGAAAGCTCCAAACTGGAATACCCTATAGCTTCTCACATTCCTGATAGTGAGAAAAAGGCTTTGTTTAATAACAAGCAAAAGAAGTCTTATCAATTTACAAGAACTTCTCCACTTTCCCCCTATCCACCCTTCAAACCTACAAAAAGAGCAACAGCCCTAGAGGATGTCAGATTTTAAAAAAATTTCAAATGATTCTGTGTTTCTTTTCTAAGTTCTACCTTAATTTTACTTACGTTTTTAAGGTTATATAGCAATAATTACTCCATACAAAACCTAAGGTGAGGTATTTCACTGAGGTTGACACAACAGGTAAAAGCTTCCTGAAGTGCTCACAGAGAAGACACACAAATATAGAGGTTTACCTAAATCTTCAAAGCTACTACCTTGACATCTTTGTATAGATGAATAGGTTCATAGTCTATGTTGTTTTTCAGAAAATATTCATTCACACAAGAAAGGAGTCTCATTTCTGGCAAGGAAAATATATCCATGAATTGCTTCATTGTATTTCCTTGTGAGCTCTACAGTGGCAGGAAGAAAAAAAAAAAAAGGTCAGGCATTTGTCAGATTAAAACACTTTCATTAATTTCGTATAAACATTTCGGCTTAGTTGCAGATATTCAGGTTTTGCCATCCCCTTCACATTGCTTCAGATTCTTCTTGAACTAAGACCCTCGATAAAGTATCTCAAAAGCATTGTGATTAATTCTTCAAATAAATCCAACTCATCGCTCTTAAAAGCAGTATTTTAATTCATAAAAACAAGACAGCGCTCAGCTTAAAGTCAAGAAAAGCCTTTAGAGGTCTTCACTAGAAATCTCCACTTCTGCAAGTAAGGAGCACTGGGTACTGTGATGGGGAATGGAGGTTTTCTTATTTGTTTGGGGTTTTTTTAGTAAGTGGAATACTGATTGGGATTGCAAAACAATTCACCTCCTTTAAAATAAGATAATAAAAAGTTTTAAGAATCTACAACAGCTAATGCAGTAACAAGGGAAGAGATTTCTAGTCTGTAAAAGCTATAATGATAGTTATATCACCCTCACAGTAAAGGAAGGTCATCTTCCTGATGAGGAAGCACCCTGTGTTTCAGTTTGTGTCTCTTGCCTCTTGTCCTGTCACTCTCCTTTCCAAGATCTAAGAACGTATAGGTCTAAAGAGACCAAGGCATCCCACAGGGAATGCCAGGATGATATTCACAACTGCTGCAGAGAACAGACTTGGGAATCCTAAATTCAGCTCCTTAAAAAAAAAAAAAAAAAACAAGTGCAAGAACAAAAAACTGCTCCACAGCACAAAGAAGGTCCTTTCATGTCAACATGGAATTAACACCCTTAAGTAAAAGGTGTAAAATAAACTTGACTTTTCAGTAAAAAGACAGCACCATTCTTCATTTGGAAAACAGGAAGGAACCTGCTAGCAAAAGATCAATTTTCCTAAGAAAGTCAGATCTTAAACCTAAATGTTTCATCTCTTATCATTCATCTTTTGTCAGATCCTCTTACTATCACTCTGCCAGTTTGCACACAGGAGATGTCTCCACACATTGACTTGCTGCTACATCAGTCAAGCCATCAGACCACCAGGAAGAAGTACACAGCCTGGGTAAAGCACTAGATATGGTTCATTTCCCAGCCTTTATCAGATTTGCTGTGCAACACTAAGCAAGTCACTCGATTTTCTATGTTCCACTACTCTGTCTGAATGACTGGGCAAAGGAGCAGTCAAAGAAGAAACTACAAGAAGCAGGAAAAAAAAAAAAACTTTAGAGGGCAAACTTCACATCTAGTACTATAAGTCAATCACATATTGAGAAAATATAACTGTTAGTTATAATGAGAACAAAATTTAGATACCACTACCCTCACACCAAAAAAAAAAAAAAAAAAATCAAAAAACCAAAAAAACCACACATGACAACAACAACAAAAAAAAAACCCCACAGCCATTTCTAAAGATCAATTTGTGGTTTTACCTTTCCATAAAAGTCACTCATTTGCTCTAAAGGGATATGGGAACCATCATACATTGCAATAACTTCTTCATCTGGGACAACACTGAGGCCTCTGGAAAACAATATCAGTTTTAGTTCAAAAGTCACATTAAAATTTTCAAGTAATCACCAAAGTCCAACAGATTAACACTTAGACCTGAACCTTATTAAAATACTAATAATGTCACAGGAACACTTTTGTCTATAAGCTAAACCAGCATCTTTTCTTACCAAACAAGCAACATTTTAGCAGACTGATACACACAGAACACATTCCAATTTTAACTTTAAAATTTAACTTTACTTTCTTACAGGAAAAGAGCTAATTAGTCCATTGAAATTATGCCTCAAGGGTTTGTAAGTAGCTAGAGCTTACAGTTTCTTATCACAAAGTAATTTCTCACTGCCTTCCCTTCATAGAGTATCAATGATCTGATAGTGTTTAAACCAGATTATTCTGCATCATGACCTTGAAGATTCAAGGGAAAGAAAAACATACACAGCCTTTAACTAAATAAGAATTTGTTTTCAACTGTACCAACATTTCAGTTTCACAAAATTTAAGATTACTTGAAGGATGGTTGACAAGTAATTAAAACATAAAAAATACAACAACAAATAGGGAACAAGGAGATATGACCTCTCCTCAGAGTTTCTTTATGAACTATTAAGAGAGTAAAGGCTTTGGTTTGGTTTTATATGTTTGCAGCATCAAGCATCTTTTATTAAAGCATCTAAAAGACTGCAGGCATGCAAATATCCTCACCAAAGGACACAGAAGTGTTGAGATTTTGCTTAGGAATAAAAAACACAAATGAAAACCAGATCAGCCAGTCTTTTTTTCTATGTTGACTTATGGTGTTTTGTAGCTTTTTAAAACAGGTTGTTATTTCAGTGCCTCTCTTTCCTGGTCTCACCAAGAAGTGTTTTCAGGTATTAAAAAAATAAATAAATAAATTGATTAGCCTAGTACTTTCAGTGCTTATCATCCACACAAGCTTTGTAGTGAAAAGGCATGATACATCAGCTTCCTCAGGGCTTCTATGGTAGCAGAGTCCCACATTAACCAGCTCCTTTACTGCTCTTGTCAATGCTACACTGACTGGTACAAAACTCTGAGCTATTCCTGGCAGGACTCCACCATTCAAGTCAGTATTGCACACAAACAGGGCAGATAATACTTTGGTTTTGTAACATAAAGAGTTCAACATTACCCATTCCACAGCAGAAAACATAAACGTTAAATGCAACCAAATGTTAAAAGGATACCAAGTAATACCATCAGAACTGAGAAGGTACCTTCTGGTCTGCAGACAGCTATGCCAAGTGGTATTTGAATACTGCTAAAGAAAACACTTGTGGATCTGTAACCACTTAAGCACAAATCAAGAGATGACAACTATGAAAGCCAAAGTGGAGAGATGATTGTCTAGGCAAAGCTGCAGAGTAGTTTTACCAGAAGACTCACAGTCTTGACACAGTTCACAGTCCAGCTGTAAAACTAAAAAGTTTGTTTTATTTCACTGACAGCATGGACAGACAGCACTAAAAGCATCACTCTCAACCTTAAGCGGCGCTCCCACTGCTGCTGTTGGAGATGTGCATTTTTAGAGGGACATCAGAATTGCTTACACCTCTCAGTGCAAATGGGGCTGTACACTTGGGCTAGTCTTTTATCTGTGTAACTGATCTCCACATGTACAGAACATAGGGAACAACAAAACTAACAACTACAGATATGCAGCACCTGACAGCAAAGCTCAGTGCTGGTACAGAAGAGAAAAGGTAATATCATTTTAAACAAAATTAAGAGAAAGTACTAAGTGAAATGGTAGCTTTCACTCTCACGTTCACAGTTTTCACTCTCACACACACTCATAAATAACAAGATGTGCAGCCTAGCAGTCCATCCAGAATTACTGTGGGTGACAAGGAGAACAAGGGTCACCAGCACTTCATAAATCTCAACATTCTTCTAGAGTTTTCTTGCATGATCATCATGTTTTGGCTTTGGATGTGCCTTCTGTACTAGGAGTTGACAGCAAACTGATTTTCTGCCTCTTCATTCTGTCTCACTCTGAGCACTGCTGATGGACTCACCACCCATTCATCTTCTCATCTAGGGCACCTATACAGTTCCAGTCCTACCACTGCTCTTCCTGACATCATTTCTCACATCCTTCAGCCTCTTTTTTCCTCCCCTCATGACCGTGCAGGTGTCTAGGGAAACAGCATGCAAATGTGATTAAATCCTGATGACCAACTCATGCAGGTACCACCAACACATGCCATCCTTTTGTCCCCTCCATCAACATTTCTTCTGGTGCTCTCATACATACATGTTTCCATCCACACCAATTTTTACATTTCTACTACATACTGCTACAGATAAACATAGCTTTGGTTACCTCACCTGGTCTTTAATCTAACAAACCAGCATTTTTCACAGCAAATCCTGCCATCAGTAACCTTTACACCAAGTTCTCTGATTCCCTCCTAGCCCTGCATATTTATTATTCTTTGAAAACCACAACAGGCTTTGTCAGTTGAAACATACAATAAATATTCTACATCAGCACACACAAACAACTGGTATAAAGTTCCCCTCAGACTCTGATGATACATACAGAACACATTGTTTTGGTAGATTTAGATAGCTACTGTATTGATGGTAGGAGCCATCAACTGGTCTATGCCATCTTGTGTCCTTTTTCATTTTCCTTGCCTTCCTCTACCCTCTCCCAAAAGGCATCTCAGCCAAATTAGTACAATAACAGATGAATGACTATGGCTGAATCATCTTGCCTACCTGCAGAACTGGCAAACAAATAAGTAATGAGCATATTATCATCATTTCATACTACCATATACAATCCCCCACAGTATATCACTTCAAAGTCACATCATCTTTTGGCCCCAGATGAAAACTTTTTGTCCAATGACTTTAAGAAAGGTGATCTGGCTTCTTGCTTGATTTAAAATCTGGTACTGTGTGTGGTGTTCAAGTCAGTCAAATGGGTACTGCTTCATTACAGCAAACTGAGCCATACTAAAAACTTTCCTGTCAAAGTTCACATATAGTAAGTCTATATCATGCAACAAAGAACAGCACAGAGATGGCCCATTTTATATCAATTCAGCAAATTCAAAAAGTGTCAGGTTGTGTTGAGTTTCCTTCTGCAAGTATGATGTGGTTGATGTGTCCAAACTTAAAAGCTCTGTGCAAACACAGCAAGACCTCTCAAACGTCTCCACAACCACACCAAAGTCACACTAACAGGCACTCTGTGACTATTTACATAGAAAGCAACAGCAGAGAAGTCATCAGTGTATTTTTAGATGTCTTTCAGTACAATTTAACAGCCGGAAACAAAGTGAGTCAGCACTATGTGACCAACCAGCCTGCCAACTTCCCCAGCTGGACCAGGGAATCAGCTGTACTGTATCAGTCAGTAAACGTGTACACATGCCTGTGTGTACACACAGAGGTGCAAAGAAACCCCCTTTAAGAAAGCCTACAATGTTCATTCACGTCCGTGCTTGTCAGGGCACAGTTCCTGATACGAAACCAAGATGTACAGTAATAAATGCAGTTAAAAGATTCAAAAAATAAGAGTAAACATTCTTATTATAAATAGAAAATAATTTTACCCACCTGTAAACTGTTCCCAGCTGAATGTAATGAAAAGCATCGATCTTCATTAACAATGCCTTGCAGGAAAAAAAAAAAGAAACAGTTTTTATCACATCAACTATTTCACATGAAATTATTAAAGTCAAACCGATTTTACCTTTAACCCGTCTCAAGAACACCTGAGCACCCTCACTTCAACTTCCTTCATAGCTTCCAAAAAACTTTTATCAATTGCTTTTACCTGGGTTTATTCTGTTGCACTCTTAAGTTGCCTTCCCCTGCCCACCATGAGGACAAAAGACCCAAAATGTTTTCTAGTTAGGAGCTATTCAAATACAACCACTAATAATAATGATGCTTGCTATGAAAGAGGAAAATATGAAACAAAATCCTTACAAATCAACGTAGAGTGGAAAGTTGGAAGACTTAAAAGCTCTATTTATTTTCTTTGGTTGGGTTCTTAGCACTAAGTAACACTTCACAAAGTTATTTATACATACCCGGTGCACATCATAATGAAGTCCTCTGATGGCAAAATTTGGATCATAATCATATTTTCTTATTTCTGCAGGATACTAAGAAAAGAGAGCAATTATTTTAAATCCATAGTAGAAACAAATAAAAATTGTTTCCACAGAACTTTAAAAGTCTACGTTTTCTATGCTTTTCATTTTCTCTAATTGTTAAGAGGCTTTTGATAGGCTGGTGAAGATTTGCAGGAACATATGTACACAGTGCAAGACAAGTCAACAATTTTTCCAAAAATCCAAGGTCATTGTTTTAAATCTAAGTCAATCATGGTATTTGAATCTGGACATCCAGGTATACTCTGTAATGATTAACTTTGAACATCAGCCTCTCGTTCAGAAAAGTTAATTTAATATATTCTTAATATATTTTAAAAACTCATTGTTTAGAGTTGTATGTGAATTGAATGACTTGGTCATGTACCCTTTCCTCATGTTCTTTATATGTAACGTAGGGAGCTCACACCACTATTATACAGTTTTCTAGCATTTTTCAGTACAAGCTCATTTTCAGTCCACTGTAATTTTGTCCTGCTTTAACCACAGGTTGCCATGAAAAAAAAAAAATGTTAGATGTGTGCCTGGGGCTAAGGGTTTTGTTTTTAAAAGGTAAAATGCTTCAGTCATTTCAACAAGGCCTGAGAAAACTATCAATTCTTTGATTAACCTTCTGAAAGGCAATCTTTCATTTCCCTCCCACAGCCTACAGTAGTCCTAGATCTTGACAAATCCATCTCAGGCACATTTTTCACCCTGTCTACAACAGTCTCCATGCATGCATGGCTAATTTACAAGCCTTGGGGGGGAGGGTACATCATGGAGTTTCAATGGAGGCTCTAGCCACTCTTACAATAAATTAATGAATTGCAATTTTGCCCAAAGTTTTTATCTTGCTGAAGAGGACTCACCCTGCAACTTACCCTGTAGACTGTGCTTGCATTGAGCACGGGCATATACAATTAAAGAAAATAGCCCTTTCTCCTAACTATCATCCCTACTACCACTTCAAGAAAACATGGGGTAGGCTACTGATCTGAATGAAAAACAGCATCAGAAGCCTACAGAGAGGTTAGAAGATGTGAAGATTTGGCCAGGGGACACGAAGCAGAGGCACAAGGGACATCAATGAAGGATACAGAAACGTGATCAATTAAAAGTTACCATGTGCAGAACATGACCCAAAGCGACCACATCAAGCATGTACAATGAAATTTATTTCTGACTTTTATCAAATTTCTGCATACTTGACTTGCCTACTTTATTCTGCTAGAAGGCTGTGTTTTTACACACATGGCAGTACATAAGAAATAAAGATTGAGCCTACCCCAGCACACAAATCAAAGCTTCCTTACAAACAAAACAAAAAAAAAATTATAAAAATTGTACTGTTTGCTTACTGCACTTTTGGTAGGGATAAACATAACTGGACTGAAAGAGCAGTCCCAACAGGATGGCACAAGGCCTGTATGCTAGGAAAGAAATAAAACCCAAGAACAAGAGCTTACACGGAGCACCTGCTGCCACCTCCATGATTAGCACTAAACTGATGTTTATTCTCTTGGACATACTTCAAAATTCCTTGCTTCCTACACTGCATTTTGCAATTTCTGATGAATTACCTCAGACTGCAATGACCAAAATTGGTCATCTTTTAGACTGACTGTAACAGTCATAACAGACAATAATATCTAGAATTTTTTTTCTAATGTTAAAGGCAAAAAAAACATTAGGAGCATAAGCAGCTACATACATAGCACCAATAAAAACTGTTGTCCCTCAGTAAATTCCAAGAGAAGACAATGTGTTTTAGTAAGCTGTCTCAAAAAGTAATTACAGCTTTGTTTACTAAAACTCAAGAGACTTTAATCAAGAATCATTTTTTAAATAATTTTAACCATTTCAATTTTTGTCTATAAGAAGAAATCTTGACTCCTACAGTAACATTGTTTTTTGCAAGAACCACACAGCTTTAATAAAATGTATTTACACATCCTACAGAAATCACCACCAAGGCACTATCATGCCAAAATTGTAGGGGGATCAAGCTATCTATGCTTGTAGCACCCACGAAGTTTTGTTTGTTCTTGCAATGATATTTATAGATGTTTATATATAGCTCCTAACCTTTAGATTCAAATACGAAAGTAGAATAACACCAATTCAAATACAAAAGTAGAATAACACCACCCATTTAGATTTAGGTTGTATAAAAATACACAAGCAATTTTATTAAGTTCTCCTGTGGACTTTTTGTCTTTTATTTTCCTGCAAGCCCTACAGTTCAATAAGTTTTGTCTCTTTTAATCCACCTTTGTTTCCCAGTCTTTATGCCAGCAATACCTTCAGTTTCCTCAGTCACCCACCTCCCTCCTGTCCTGCTTCCTAACACACAGCAACTTTTCCCATCCCCAAACTACACAACAACCAGCTCCAAAATGCTTGGATGTCAACTGGTCACCACTGCAAACACAGTGGTAAGGGGTCAGGGGACTACTGAGCTGAACACTTACTCATATCCAGGCTCTGATTACAGTGTCACTGATCACGCTGCCCCTTCAGCAAACACAGCTGAAACGCCGGGTGCACACAGAGCACCTTGCAAGCACACAGTGCAATCAAAGACCTGCTCAGAAGTCAATCTAAAAATACTCCACATGGAAATTAATCACTGCACTCACAGCAGTGGATAAAACAGAGTAATGGTAACTTTGAAGCTTTTTATTCATTAATGTGACTCCAATAAATGACAGTCAGGAACAAACAACAAACCACACCACCACATTAAAAAATAAGACGAAAATAACTGTACTCCTTAACAGACTGTGCTCTGCTCAAAACTGCAGCTGAGAATAAACCAGCACTTCTGTTGTTCATATGTAGCTGTTGTACAAAATGTGCTACAAGGGACTCACGTATGAAAAGATGAGTTATGCCTCTCAGTCAGAAATTATTTATTATACTCTTTATTCATAAATTTATTGTTATTCCATTAATTTTACTCACCCGATGTTCATTGATAAGAAGATCTCGAGCAGCATTGAATATCAGCGTGTGCAAATGTTTAGAATAAAAGACCAACGTGTAGTCATAATCAAAACCATAAATTTCAATGTCCGACAGGCTCATTTCATTGTTTGAAAAAATAGCATCTGGATTCAGCATGTTACTCATAATCGAAGGAACCAACTCTGTGAACAGAAAAAAAAAGTTATATCAGTCTTGCAGTTTTATTTAAATAAAGACAAAGAAATCCATTAGCAACTGCTAAATATAGATAAATGATGATGGAAACTACCAAACTAATTCACACTAAGCAGCTATTCCTTAACAATATGATGCTACTGAACATGCTGTCCCAAACTTGTCTGGATGACCTATACTTTTTATTTGAAGCACACTTTTATCTGCACAGTCCAGGTTGGAGAGAAAATGCATTTTGCCATCTTGCTTATCAGAGAATGGCAGACATAATTTCTTGCTAACTCTGTTAACATATTTATTAATGCTTTTGAAAATTAATTTGGAGTTGGAGAATGATATTATTATTATTATTACTACTCCTCTAGGAACCTTGTCTTCTCCTCCCATTACTTGGTCCAGCTCCTGCCACAGAAGCAGAACTGACATTGTTTTAATTTTAATTTGACATTGCTTTATTTTTTTTTTGCTTCACCATTTCAAGGTTACCACATTACTTATTTGAGTTCGAGTTCAGTAAACTTTATATGACTGCCATAGTTTCCAAACAACTGTTACATACACACTGCTATGCTTACTAACCTTCTAGCAAATCAGGAAACCAAAAATATTCTGCTTATTCTCTATTTAACATGCCTAGAGTGTGTAAACCACTTCCATTTTTAAGGCTGTTTCTCTTGATATTTGATGCAAAAGTATACGGAGAAGTTAAGTCCATAATATATCAAGTAACTTCAGACCAACACCAATGTCAGTACTAAACATTTAAATTTCTTGTTTAGAAAACTTGAAACAGCAACATTAGGAGGCTAAATACTACTCTCCTGTCGGCATAAAACATGAGTATGTTTTCATTCCTTCCTTTCTCATAGACTATCTTTATATATTCCAGACTTCCCTACTACTGGAAAAAAAAAAAAGGGGGAACTATCATCTTAAATCTGTGCTTGGAAGGGTGAGTTTCAAGGGAATATGGTCTGTTTGGTTACTTTCTATATAGGTTTAAAAGGAATTGATCAAGTTTATCTCAACACCTTCAGCTCTGAGTACAGATCACTACATGTTCCACCACCAGAGGAAACCATCTCAACAAGGTGGGGGTAGGTGTGGAGACTCCAGGTCTGTTAAATAGCACTCCATTTTGAAAACTCTGGCCAACTCATGGAATGGGAAATTACACTTCTTTTGTAAAAGCAATGCCTTTAACTGCTGCACAGTTGACAGGCAGATATAGTAAGAAACACAGAGATGCCCAATCACAGTCAGTAATCTGAAACCATTCAACTTTATCAGATGCAGATACCCAAGTCTTTCAATTTTTAAGAGAGGAAGAAAGGTAAATTCACTGAGTTTAATTCCAAATTTCAAATAAAGCCCAGGAATCATATCAAATGGTATTTGACATGCTACAATCAGGGTAAATACTCTTCCTCTATAAAAAGGGCCATGAATCATTCAATTAACTTCAAGACGTAAGAATATTTTTTGTGAACTTCTAAAATCACGTTACAATACCCATTTCTGTATTACAGTTAAAGTATTTTTTCAAATGGCAATTGTTCAGCCTGGTGACTCAACCCTTGTTTTAAAAACAAAGATATTTATATAGCTACACATAGATAAAAAGATATTTCAGCTAAAAAAAGAGCTTGAGTACTGCCTGTCTGAAAACAGACAGTGTAAACGCTTGGTAGCTATTAGACATTCTGGTTAGCAGAGAGCATCCAAAGTGCTATAAACCTTACTTCAAAAATCAGGGGAGATGTTGAAACATCATCTCAACATCATAACTAAATGAAACGTCACATACTTGAAGCCATTGGACAACTTAGGCTGTAATATGAGTCTGAAATATTCTAGAAGCACTTGCCTCATCTTTTGCCAACTCACACCCACTGACCGACTTATTTTTTCATAACGTTACCCTGAAGTATTATTTGGGTGTGGTTTAGAATAAAAGAAAGTTAATTCCCAAAACAGGAAAAGAAAAAAAGGTTCAAAATAAAAGGCACTTCTCTTTTTCCTATCCCTTATCTGACCCTCCAAAATCCCACAGCACTCTCTTGAGATCTCTAACACGATTTTTAATTTCACTTCTGAAATGCTGACGCTGTTTTATGTTCACAAATGCTTTATTTGCACCCAGCATTGTGAAGCTCGCATTCAGGACTCTTAAGTACAGAACAACACAGTAGTTTCTTTTTATAAGGCCAAAACATGCGATCTAAAGGTTAGATCTCCTGCCACTATGGGACAATCTTTTTCACTTGATATTGTAGAACACACTCTGCCTCTTTCACTTTCAGGTCCCAAAAAAGATCACATATTCAAGCTTGCACTCGAGCAAGTATTACCTTAGTAATACTATTCCCATCCGAGCAAAAGCAGAAGCAAGGAAGCGAGCAAGCATCTGTCCCCTAGCTTTTTGCCTAGATGGGCCAAAGAACAGGGCTCCCCAGAGTCATCCACGTATCACGAGCATTTTACAACGCTTTATAGTGTTATAATGGAACCATAGGCAAAATGAAAAAAAGTCATCCAAAACTTCACAGGATTTCAACTTTTCGGAAGAGCAGCTTACTGCAGAAACCCCCTCAAACAGACGACCAGCTTCTCGATTTCCTTTTTACACTTTGCTTTTCCCCACACAACGCATCTCCAGCACCTGCCACTTTGCCCGGCCCGAGCCACGCTGCACGAAAGGCTCCTTCCTCGAGGCACCTCCAGACAGCTGCAGCCCCGGCGGGTGCTCAGAGACGGGCTCAGCCCTGCGGACCTGCCGAGGGGACGGTCCGACCCCTCTCCCAGCCCGGCACCGGGCAGACCACGGGAGGGGAGAGCGCTTCGCCAGGCGCTGCCGGACGGACCCGCGCCTCGCCCCCCGAGCCCCTCACGCTGCCCCCACAGCCTTCGTCCTTCCCCCGCTCCCAGCCGCCAACCCGCATCCCTTCGCTCCGGGAAGCGGCGGTGCCCCGACTCCCGGGGCAGGTTGCCGGGCACGGTGGGGCGGCGGCGCCTCTGCCGCCCGCGGGCGCCGCTCACCCTTGGTGACCCTCTTGGCCTCCTTGTAGCGCGACCACAGGTAGCTCTTCATGTCGGGCGACGGCTGCTGCTGCTGCTGCGGGGCCACGGTGCAGAAAGGAGCGGCCCCCGCGGCGGGCAGGGGCAGGACCCGGCACCGCCGCCCGCCCGCGCCCGCCCGCCCCGCCGCCAGCAGCGACCGCGCCGCCGCCGCTGCCGCTGCCATGCTCGACCACGCTCCGCGCCGCTCAGCCCCGCCGAGACACAACGCCCCCGCCGCCGCCGCCGCCGGCTGAAGTCACTTCCTCGGGCCCCGCCCCGGGGCCGCGCCGAGGCGGGAGGCGGGTCCGGCTGCGGCCGCAGGTGCGGCCCGGGAGGGAAGGAGGGCGGGGCGGCCGCTGCTGGGCGAGCAGCGGGGTCCCGCAGGAGCGCGCCTTGGGGCCTCACCCGGGGCCGCCGGGCCGGGACTCTCGGGTCTGCCGAGCCGAGGAAGGAAAGCAGCGTCCCCCCATCCGTCACCGCCTCCAGCACCTGATGGTGAAAGTCAAGGTCAAGTGGAGCCGCTCAGGAGATGTACCCCAATTTCATGCCTCTGCTGCTCTTCTGGTCTCTGCTGCCTGGGGTCCTTTTACCACAAATGCCACATCCAGTGTTTACCTTTTCAGCCGGCGTGCGCTTCGGAAGTGCTCCATACACCTGCTTAAATCCGTGAGAAAAAACAAGCTCAAAACAAAAGCTGAAATACAGTGAAACCCACAGAAGTTCTGCTGCTGTCTTGAGGCTCCCCATGTTCTTGTGAAACATTTGCCACTGATAGCTGTAGATTCTGGCAGACTGAGAACTTGAGCCATATCTATTAACACTTGTAAAAAAGAATATATATTAGATGATGCATGGATGAAAAAGTACAAAGCCCAGACCACTGTCAAAACAGAATTCCTGATGTGCTCAGAAACTATTTACAACAAAAGGAACATATTCTTTTTCCAGTACAGTAAACATCAAATACAACTTGTTCTTATACCAAGGAGATCCACATAACCCATTGTCACTTATGTCTGGAAGTTACTCAGTCATTCCTCTCCAAACATCTCTAAATAAAGCAATCCTATACAAAACTGAAGGATTTCAGGCTAAATACTACTCTGAGCATTCTCTTTTTTTTACAAAGAATGACACCTTATTTTTACAGGCAAAACCACAACAAAGTGAAAGAAAAACAATCGACTTTGGATTTTGAAGTATCTGTCACTGGGGAGATATGTGCTCTATCCTTCCTAGCAAGGCTGAGTTCTTGATTGACATTACAGTTGTGATTGCCAAAAGTCTAATACTCTACAGACTTCCAACACTGGGTTATTGGTGGAGGCAAGATGCAGCTTTCTTCAAAGTTCCAACATTATCATTTATGTTACATTGTCATGTTGTTATTTCAGTAAGTGATTCTGGTATACATCACTACAAATACATCATGATAAATTCTGGGAACAAGGAGAGAACAAGATGGTCAATGTTTAGAAAACAGACAAGGTGAGAGAAAAGACAGCTTCATAGAGAATGCCTGAGCTGGTACTTGCTTTCTTTGATCTTTCTAGTCAGAGAAGATTTTTACAGAACGCTTTCATTGCAACATCCTGTGGCAGAGAAAATGAAAACTCCCATTTAAGTTTTGGCATCAGATTTTTCATGTGCAACTAGAAAATAAAATTAAGTCATCTATGAAATTACAAATTCTGAATTCATGGCATAGTTCTAGAGTGTTGTAGGTTTTCTTGTCACTCCAACTCCTAATCAATCACCTTCAACAAAGCAAAAATGCATTACAACTGGACAGCTTTTTCACTCCAGCCTATGGGTTAATTAATCCCCCATGCAATTCAGTTGAAATTAATAGAAAAAGTCGCATTGTTCTTCTCCTGAACAGGGCCTAGCCTGGTCTCCCAGTCCCAAGACTATAAATATTGTGAACAATAACCACTTTGCTAGGTGAGGCATTCTCAAGGAAAAGTTACAAGGACGGCTCTGAATAATACAAGGAGGAGCAGCAATGAAGAAGCCATTTCCAGCAGTTCAGTGGAGGTGTTGCTTGTTCTGGCATAAGCAGTAAGAGAGTATTGCAGACATGGATTTATGTTCCCTCACTGTTACACCAGGATTAAGGTTAGAAAACTTGTCTCTAACAGAAATCTGGAAAAAGACAGTAGCAATATCACTCACTCCTTGAAACTTGAAGGCTTTGAAGTTTCACATTCATTTCTTTTTTTATACTAATAGACTAGAATGACAATACTTCTATTTCTTCTGCAGGCATGTGCAAGACAGAGGCTTGAATGTGAAAACTACTGTTGTTGGTAGAAACCCATACTTTTGCTGCAGAAAGTTTGGCTCCCCAGATAGCCAGGACTAACCTATAAAAAGAGATCTGTGCTTAAGTATCTAGTCCCAGTGCTTTCAAAGATCATTGTCCCTGCATATCAGACAACATGTTTTTTTAATGCTTGATGTATGCAGTACAAATTAAAAGAAAAGTTGTTTCTTTGATGTGATTCTGTTAGCTAAGACAACTTCAATGGCATGTTTGGCGAGCAGGTTATTCTCACAAATCAAAGTAATCCCTAAGTGTTAGCAGCAAGACTGGAGACAGAGCTAAAACACGAAGTAATGGTGTTTAAAAATAAGTTTTTAAGCAACTCAACTTCAGACAACTATGTCCTTTCCCTTGTCTGCTGGTCTCCAACTCAAATACTGGAAAATATGTGGTAATGTAAACTGGTATGAAGGAGCATGCATGGAAATTAATTTGCCTTTATTTGCATCCACATCCCATCTTCCAATACTTGTATCAGTTTTTATTTAAGCAGAATACAACATGGAGAAGTAGAGGATGTCAGTTTTTTTCTAAAATGGCACTTAACATGAAATATAATCCTACAGGCTAGTCTTACTATAAATGTCCCTTCTAATCACATCAGTCCAAGTCATCCTAGAGATGAATAAAAGAGAAATTTCCAATACTTTACACAATGCACAAAAGAACCCAGACTTTCCCTCATGTTATTTTCAGAATTTACCACACCTATGATACTTACTCGGTACAAATTGAAAGGTGTTTAGGTAAGGCTGACAATTAAAAAACAAAAACAAAAAAAGAAAATGAAAACCCCTACCTAACGTAAAGAGTTTCAAAGAAGAATTATCCTTTCAAAGAAGAATCTCAGAGGGCTGTCTTACTGCATGGATAGAACAGGAGAAAGCATGGGCCTAAAAGCAAAACAGCATAAGCGGTGTTATGTACATATCACAGAGCCTGATTTATATCTGGCATCCCACTACTATTCAAGGCCTGTGGAATTAACTAGGGTCTGGTTGGGGATAATACACATGATGCTTATTAACTGTTTTACTTTTGACTGAATTTTATGGCAGGGAGTAATTCAGTGTGAGGCTACATAGAATCCTCAGTTCACAAACACCAGCTCTATTAACAATGCTGAAGGTTCAAGACACAGATGCCGTGTGATCTCCATGTGCACATACTTGAAACACCTTTGAGAACTTGTCAAGTGTTTCACATATATTATGTATGACAAGCTAGGCCTATGATTACACCACCTCTAATTTCTTGCTTTTGAAAGTTTTGTTCACACGGGGGAAACATGCAAATTTCCCCACAGCCTGCTCAGCCCTACCAGCTCCTTCTCACTTCTGAGGTCACCCAGAGCACTTAACACTTTGGAAACCACTTGGCTAATAAAGACACTCCTGCACTTAAGTCACTGAGGGATGGATTTCTAATCAGCTAGTACAGCCTTCAAATAAAGCTTCAGATTGGGCTAGCAGATACTACAATTCATTAAAGTGCCATTGAATGAAATTAAAATGCAAGGCTAGGAAAGCTGACAATATCTTACTGCAGCTTCTGTGGTGCAACATTCCAAATGGAACAGCTTGGTAAGCAATAAAAGCTTTTGACAGATTCTATCAGACAGTTGTTTATTACAGAGCTGAATGACCCTGGACTGACAGAGAATGGGCAAAGGCAGCACAGAAACAACCTCCTGTGAAAGAATAAAGAAAGAACAGTCTTTCTTACTGCCTAAAAAATTCTGAGGAATGTTAGTTTCCTCATCTTTGACATATTTCCTGCTTACATAAATTTTCCTAAATGTGTTTGTGAAAATTATTTCACTTTAAAGGCCACAGAATGCCATCAGATGCTATTGATTCTAGTCTTCTTAGAAACCACACCCTTTTACAGTCCCTTTAACCAGCCGGTACTTCTCCCACTAACAAATGCTTCCATATGGAAAGTTTTTGCATATGTTTAATTTTTATATGCTTTTCATTTTCATATTGGTATTTAAAAATAAGTGGAATTGTGTTCATGTGCAGCTATTTCGTAAAAGCATCTAACTCTTTGGAGAAAAAACTTCTTTTCCTGAGCTACATATTTGCTTCCTTTGCTTCTGTTTCAATAATACTATCACTAAGCAAAATTAATTTGCCACATCCGAAGTGGAAAAATGAGAATATAAGCACACACTCCCTGTGAATATTAATACATGGTCAAAATGAGAGCAGAAAAATAAAGCAATTGACAGAAACATTAGTGTGTGTGCTGTTCCACACAAACTTCACTATAAACCACAGCTGAATACTTCCAGTGTTACACTTCCATAATGCAACTGGGTAGAGAAGATTCTGACTATTTAGTTCTGCCCGGTGAAAATTTATCAGCTGGCCCTCCTCCGAGAAGAAATACATAATCCAAACAAGTTAGGAGATTTTCTGGTAACTCAAGTGGGACAATTTTGCTATCCAGGAAACTTGGAATGTGAATTCTGGTACATTATTCCATCCACTACAGACATTGCCAAACTCTTTAATATAATTTGAAGTAACACATAAAGTTTGTACAGACTTAGGAAAAACAAAAATAGGGACATGAGTTTTATAACTGCTTTTGCCCAACTTTCTACCTTTTCAGCCTAATCTTATATTGAGAAGATTAAACGGCAATTAAAAAAAACACCTTTCTTTTCACATGAAATACATTTTGAACTATATATCATTTAGGAGCAAACTTACCAGAGGAGTTAGAAGCCTGTCATTATTTTCTGTTAATACCATCCAGTATAGCACATGCTACCTGTTATGTGACAGGTGAGCACTTAACCAGTATCTGGTCCAAAGGATATTCTGAGTCTGCAAGGTAAAAAATAAGCA